TATTAGTTGGAGTGGTGTCCATCTCCTGGCTGCAGAGGAAGTGGGTCCCTCTCCTCAAGGGTTAGTCATTTAGAAATGACTGCACATGGCAGCAGATGCTGGTCATTCAAATGAGGGCCATTTGGTGGGCAGACACAGTATTGTTCTCATGCCTGTTGTACCAAAACTGACTTACCAGCAAATGGTTATGAAGGGAGAGAAGAAGAAAAGAGGTTGATTTCCAGCCAGTGAAGCCTAAGGGACTAAATGCAGATTGTACTAGAGAGACTATTCCTAAAGTAACCAACCGCCTGGGCTTGGGGCTTGATTAGGTAAACCATGAAGGGACAGAGGCAGTGAGCTCTTCCTTCCAATCCCCATGCAGGGTTTCTTCTGTGTCTATATTATTCATGTTTATATACACTTCAAAGTAAAACTCAATCTCTCACATTTTAATGTCTATTCTGTAGTCCTGGACATTCAAGGAACAGAACTGTCTAGCATCTAAAATTGTTACAGTGTGATTTTACTAACATACAGATAAACACATAAAAACATAGATGATTCTAGTCTCTTTGTTCCCAAATGAACTGCCACAATTGTGCCCGTTCAGAGTCTTTAAGTTTTACACGAGTGCAACTTGGAATAACTCAAGTATTGCTATTTATAGCAAACAAAAGTTTATTTTTCATTTGAATGATTCTGACAGTCTAACATCAACACAATAAAATCTAAACTATATACCTAATTCTATTAAAACATTTAAATGCTAAACTTATACAGTAAAACCTGTGGAAGACGGAACCTGTGTAGGGTGGAAACCTGTCACAGAAGGAAAACTCAAACATTTTCCACTAAAACGAGCAACAGAAAAGTGTAAGACTGCACCGCGTCAAAGGTGGAAAACTTTTGAGATCCAGAAAAACAAGGCAGTCTTGTCAAGTTCCAGCTCTCACAGGTTTCACTGTATAATTAAAATACCTTTTATATTGATAAGATATGCGCATGCAAATAGAATACACAAAGCCTTCTTCTATCAAAAGTTACAGTTTCCACTGAAATAACTTGAGAATTCAAACTGAATGAACTTAAAACCGCAGCTATACAGTTACTGATGACTCCTGAATGAATCAACTGTCAAGAGTTCTGTCACAACTATATCAAAAATCTAGCTCATACAACCAGAATGCCAAGTGAAAAACACCGTACCAATCCTGACATAACTAATGTTTAACTATTACAAAAGCTATATGGTAATCAATGTAACAAAAATCTTCACTTTTTAAATAAGAACAAAAAGCAGTTTGATTTGGTTTACACCTAGAAAGTTTTGTAACTACAGGGAATCCAACATACTGGCCTTGAACTAGCTTAGTTTTAGGTTACAGATGAACGCGTCGGTGAGTATATGCTACTTAAAGTTTTAATTGTTTGTGGAAGAAGTCCGAGAAGGTATATAAAACTGGATACTTTCTGTATCCTCTATTAATAATTGTTTTAATTACTTTTTCCTAAGGGAGGGTCAACTGAAAGCAAATTTTGAGGGGTCGTAAGAAGCTGGGGAAAGGGATGGAAAAAAGGAGAAAAATTAGAAGGAAAACACAAAGACATGTCCGAGACATTAGTAAAGTCTACTAGTAACTTTGTACTAATTAAATGTAGCCTGTATTCTGAAAGAAAGAATCATCATTCCAGCTAATAGGCTACTACAAATTGTGCTTGATTATCTCCACTTGCTAAACTAGTACCTGAATAACATGGACAGGAAAATAACATAAGATGGGAAAATATAAGATTTTCCTCCTTTAACTTTTATCATATGGATGGGTTATTCAGAAGCAGGGCAATATTAAATTGCGTAGGCATTATGGATTAAGCCAGCTCTAACCCCCTAAGTGATCCAAAATGGAGCCTTTTCATAAGCAAGCTCTTTAACATATTCTTTTAAAGTTCCAAATTAAAATTCTGAAATACAAATTATACTTTACTACTAAAAAACTGTAAGTGTTCATTTTTCAGTATTACATATTCTAAATCCTTAAAGGCTGGCACTATGTCTTATTTCTTATGGTCTTTTTGCCATGGAGTACAGCAGATCATATACATAATAAATTTCGTTAATTAAAGCATACAAGATTTATTTACCCATCCATTCATTTACTAAATACTTTTTGAATGAGCACTCTTGCTAGACACCATGAAATAAATTGGTGAATAAAACAGACATGGTTCCTCTCTTCACGGAACTTAAAGTCTACTGGAGGACACAGGCTACAAATTAAACGAACATATAATTACAAATTGTTTAGGTATAAAGAAAGTATTAAATAGTGTACAGTGATTAAAAAAATAGTCATAAGCTACTTAAGGGACAGGAAAGGCCATTCTGAAGAGGCAACACTAAGCCCTGACTTAAGAGGACAAGGAGTCAGCCTCAGAAAGCACATACCAGAGCAGAGAATGAGCTGAAAAGCCATGAAGCAGGAAGAAACTGGTTTATCTAAGGACTTAAGAAGCTAGTCTGGCTACAGCATAGCATGCCAGGGGTAGTGTGGTACAATGATGAGGGGCCGTATCACACAGGTGGCTTGGCTGGCCAGGTTAAGGAGTCTGAATTTTCTTCTAGTAATGGAAAGCCACTGAAGAGTTTTAAGTAGGAGACTGGCATAAACCAATTTATATTTTGAAAAGATCACCATGACTGCTGGATGGAAAATATGTTGGGGCGGGGGGAGTGGCAAAACAGGAAATAGAGGAAACAGTTAGGAAGTTACAATACTTTAGTCTAGAAATGATTGTGACCTGGGCTAGAATGGTGGCAGCAGAGATGAAGCAAAAGTCAGTAAGAGATATTCTGTAGGCAGAAATGACAAGTTTATTTACAAACTGGATATTGGAAATGGAAGACGACTGACTCCCTGGTTTCTGACTTAGGAAATAGGGTGAATGATGGCATCATTTTTCACTGTGATGGGGAAAACAAGGAAAGGAAAAGGTATAGGAAGAAGAACAATCAATAGTAGTTCTGTTTTGAACATTTAAAATTAGAGATGTCTGTTGAAACGTCAAGAAGTTGGTCAGGTAAGCAAAATTGCAGACAAGGAACAAGTTAATGCTAGAAATATAATCTAAGGATTACTGAGCACACAGACACCATGAGAAAAGATTAGTTCACCAACTCTGGTAATTTTCAAATTTGGTGTGTACACAATTCAAACTTGATTAAAGGAAGATGTCGATTTGAGCCCCATCCCTAGAGATTCTGATTCAGTATGTCTGGGAACCTGCATTTCTTAATAAGTCTCACAGGTGATTCTGATGCAGCTGACACACAGACTACATTCTGAGGAGCAGTGATCTGAGAAAAGACAGGAGAGAAGAAAAGAAGGTCCAGAACTGAAGACTAGGAAATTCCAACATTTAGACTTTGGGTAAAGGAAGACAAATCTGCAAAGGATAATGGCTAGGCCAAAGAGGTAGGGAAAACTAAATGGTGCAGTACTCCAGAAGTCAAGAAAAAGAAGTGGTGAATTGTGTTGAATACCACTGTGAATGAAGTAGAGAGAGGAAAGTGACCAATGGACGTGCGGCACAGTAACTACTTAATACAGCCCTTCTAGCCATAGATTTTAACTCCCACCAAATGACCGGGTAGGATCATGCAAATGAGGTGCTTGTGGCCCACAAAGGAGATTGGACGGCTTGCTAATAACGTAAATAAGGTGGATAGCACCCTTGCGAGGGTGGGACCATACAAATAACATCTATGGAACCCAAACGAGGGGATTGGTCAGTTTTGCCATTCCACTAGGCTTAAAATGAACCATCCCAGAGGCGGGAAGGGAGGATCCCACCACCACCAAGAAAGAACAGCCAGGAGTAGAGTACGTCCTTTGGCCCCAGGATCCCTGCACTGAGAAGCTCCTGGAATCAGGACACTGAGCTGTAACACCAAAGACAGCGAGAAGGGGTAACAGAGAAATGGTGGCAGCAGAGACAGGAGACAGCACAGTAGGGTTCCTAGCCCACGGGCTAAGAAAGCTGAGTGCCTTTGGGCAAACCTGCTGGCAGAGTAAGGTGCCTCTGGGCACCTGGTGGAGCTAGGTTTACCAGTCCACAGAGCTAAAGTTGAGCCTTCAAGCCAAGGCTTATTGGGTGCCTCTGGGTACTTATCAGCGGAGCTAAAGGAGCTTTGTAACACTTGCCTGAGCACTGCAGAGGCGGGGCTGAGGGCCTGAGAGACCTGCCTGTGGGCACGGCTGAGAAGAGGCTGTCCTGATGGAAGAACTATAATCCTGAGCATTCTTAAACCTGAGTTGTAACCTGTTACTTCCCTAATCAACCCTGTAACTGTGAGTATGATCTGTGAGTTGTGTATGGCCAGTGCAATGAATTATGGAACCCAGCAGAGAAGTACAGAGTGCCGTGGGAAGGACTACTGGTGTCAAAATTAGTAAAAAGGTTGGAGGCTGGAGGCATGTCTGACCTCCACCTCATAGAAACCAGCATTGGGCTGTTGATCTTGAGTCTCCTTCCCCTTTGTCAAGTCGTAAGAGGTCACACACCCCCATCACGCCATTTTCACAGGACGCAAGCATGGAAGTCACTAGTCACCTTGATAGGAGTGGTGGAGACAATCAATAGAGGTTTATGGAGTAAATGGGAAAAAAGATAATGACAACTGAAGATATTGTTGCTCTGAAGCGGAGTAAATAAAAGAGCAAAATTGGGGGACAACAGAAGATATGTCAGATAAAATTCTGAGCTAGACCTGGGATGTCTTCCAAATTCACTATTTAAATTCCATTATTTCACATAATAAAGTTACTTTTAAATAAAAGCCCTTCATTTCAAACTTTAAATATCTCACTCATAACCCCACAGATCTTTTTCAGTATGAACTGTATGTAACACAACCTTCCCCCAAAAAACACAAGTAGAGAACCAAAATTTCAAATATTTCCTCTCCCCACAAAAAAGCTATCTAACCTCTTCATCCCCTAGCTCTTAATGTTATTTACCCTTGCAAGATCCTCTATTTCAGAACTGAAGTTTGTTTCTCCTTCCATCATTTCTTCCTCTTCTAATGTTCGTTCATCATCAAAATCATGAACCAGCATGTCAGCTGATGGATCAAATTCATGGTCATCTGATGTTGCTGAACCTCCTGGTAAAGAATATTTTAAAAGTATGGTAAACCAAATTAAGTATATCTTATTAATACTAATTTAATGTATATGCTTTATTTGAAGTTGGATAAAAATCAAATGAAAGCATGAAAAAGGTAAACAAAACAAGTATTATTTATTGCTTTCTAAAACTCTTGCTCTTACTCATCACCAAAAAAAACAAAAACGAACTCTTCTCAAGGATCATTTTTTGCCCCTTCCCACCGCTACATATTCAGTTATGACTTCAAAACTGCGAGGCGGGGGAGGTTTATAGCTTAAAAATAAAACGATGTAATCTTTAAATAGAAAACATTAAGTTGTAAAGAACAAATGATAATATCAAGTAAGAATGATCTTTTTTTGTGGGAAGAATCATAATCTTTTACCATTTGACTGATGTCTGATAGACCCAGTGAATATGAGCCCCTCTGGCCCCTGAGGAGAATACAGTCACGCGAAATATATAGTCATGTGAAAATAAAGTTGCACTCAAATTATTATACTGTTATCAGTACTTCCATGAAAATATATTCTAATATTTAAGTAGCTGTCCCTAAACCTGCTTAGTTGATTTTGATCTGAAATAACTTAAAGATAGAGTATAAAAGTAAAATCAAATACAGAACTCTTATCAAAGGCATTAAAAATAATCTAGTAGGTAACTGATGAGTATTTTTAACCTGTTAGAGAATATTGCTTTACTCAATAGGATCAAGCCTTATAATAGTAGACTGTAAATGCTAAAAATATGTGTATCTTGTAGTATATACATATACATGTATGCGTATATATACGCATATATACATATACACACACTAATTATATATATATTAATTATATTAATATATATACACACACACACATACACACACAGTAAAATATGCCCACATTTGGCTATTGCTAACCCTGAACTTAACTTTCAGAGAAAGAACGATTTTCTGAGTGCTTACTATATACCAGATACTACGCTCAAGCACTTCTCAAACATTATCTCAGTTAATCTTCAAATAATCCTAGGATTGTATCATCACCCGACTTAAAGAAGAAGAAAATAGACAAAACATGAGGCTTAGAGTGTTTATGTAGCACGTCTAAACTCGTGCAGCCACTAGGTGGCAAAAATGGAATTTGAATCCTAGGTCTGCTATTCCAAAGCCTCTGCTTTTACTGCACTCCTAGCCTCCTGGAAGTCACAGCCTCAAAAACAGTAGATACTGTGCCTCAAAGAATACTGAAGGAGAGAGTTTATATTTAGGATGAGTGAATTACAAACCAGGTCAAGTGGCAAAGCTCTTAGAAGTCATTGTGCTCTTTGAAAAGCATAATAAAATATTGATATTAAATATACAACGTAGAAATTTTCTGCCAAATCAGACACCATCTTATACAAGATTATAGAACACATGAATTATTTTAACAATTGCCAAAGATTTACAAAAGAAAAACATTCAGAAAAGTTTATGTTCATCTGGAAATTATTAAAGCTTCGCATAATTTTAGTAAGGTATCTTAATACTGGTTGAAGGACTCCATACAAGGGTTTCATAGGAGCAGTCTGAAAACCACTAATTTAAGTTTTTTTGTCCCTTCCTTCTGAATTTCAAATGGAAAACTATTTTTCCCGAAACTTCAGTTCACTCAGGAACCTTCTGGGACACTTAGCAGTCAAAAATTATGTATTCCTAGACCTGATGCTGCACTTTCCTGCCCTGGTGGTATACTGGTTAAGAGCTTGGCTGCTAACAAAAAGGTCGGCAGTTCAAATCCATCACCCGCTCCTTGGAAACCCTATGGGGCAGTTCTACTCTGTCAGTCAGAACCAACTCAATGGCACCTAACAACAACAGCTGATGCTATACTTTTCTTCTCCCACATAGGCAGAAATACCCTAAAAAAAAGAAAAACAAAACAAAACAAAAAAAAACCCTCACATCACCACTTTGTATTATACTGTTATCCTGATCATAATTCTTATTTAATGCAAATATTGTAGAATATAATTATGCCTAATTTCTAACAACTTATTACTTATGAACTGATGATTATTACTCTTTTATCAACTAAAAATATCAAGCTCATGAGTAAACAGCACCAAAGTATGCATCTTATATGACTCATCTGAAGCCCCACGTTTAGCATTATATGCCAAGCCAATTATATCTGAAGCCTTGCCACTTCATCCCCACAATTACATTGAAAAACTAAATGAAAGTGAACTTTTTCTTCCTTCTCACTGCAATTTCTTTCCCTCCATATATACTGCACTGCCTCTATAAACTTTCATTTTCAATTTTTTTCTGGCTTAATCTAATCTGTGTTTTATCTGGCCTCTTTTTACCTTGTGCTTTGGGACAAACTAACCATTCTATTCCTTTCTGTCAATTGCCAGGCCCATCGTTAGGCTGTCTCCTAGGAAAAAAAACCCCAATAATAAGTTATTAGGAGCAAGGAGTTTAGTGCTTTGTGTAAATAAATATTTTGCTTCAGAATTATAGCAAATATCACTGCTCTGTCATAAAATTTTCTCCTACTACAAAAGTACTAAAAAGTATATCTTTTCTAAGACTCAAAGGATAAATTCAGTTTATCACGCATAGTCATTTTTTTTTTACTCTCCCCTTCCCTAACTCCTCACCCCTAATGACTACTTGTCTACAGGTAATGCCTTGCTTTGTGCCTCCACTTTGATTTACATGGTGGGAGTCTGCAGACAAACACTTGGGTACACCTCCAGACTGGGTGACATGACTAACATTACTTGCATCAATTCCAAAGTACAGATGCTACAGACAGCACAGCATTTCACATGAGAACCGAAATTTTCTTTACATGAAGACTCTATTCCTAATCTTCCCCACCAATTTTTTGTAACTGTTTACAACTAGCACTACTTAAGCCTGATATTACAGATGCTGTCTTACTCAAAAAAGATCTTTGTCAGTCTAAAAACAATTTGGAAAAATATAAACATTCATTTGTGTAAGCATTTACCAACTAGTAAAGGCCATCAACAAGGGCACTGGTGGTTCACTGGTAGAATTCTCATGTCCCATGCAGGAGAACAGGGTTCAACTCCTGGCCAACGCACCTCATGTGCAGCCACCACTGATCTGTCAGCGGTAGCTTATGTGTTGCTGTCATGCTGAACAGGTTTCAGCAGAGCTTCCAGACTAAGACAGACTAAGAAGAAAGGCTTGGCGATCTACTTCCAAAAATCAGCCAATGAAACCCTATGGATCACAATGGTCTGATTCACTACCGATCACGAAGACAGATCAGAACCAGGTAGTGTTTCATTCCCTGATGTATGGGGTCACTAAGAGTCAGGGGTGGACTCAGCAGCAGCTAACAACAATAACAACAATGGCCATCAAAGATATTTGTATTCTTCAAGCTCCATTATTCCCCAGTTTAGCCTAGTCTGATTTAAAAACAATGGATGCTGAGAAGTCATTTAATATCACTTTTGGAGTAATTATTTTTATGTATCTATGTATTATTTGATGAATGTCTCAAAAGTACATAGAAAAATATCTAAAACGCAGTCTATCTGCAATTATCACAATATTAATAACAATCAACAAAAACGAGTAAAACCTATTTTTCAACGGAAATGATATATGTGTAAAAGAAAAAAATATTGGGGACAATTCCATACCCTAAAAAGGACATGGTAATCAAATACTTAACTGAGGTCAGATTATTCCCAACCTCAACCATCCAGAATGTATTTCTAAACTAGGAAACAAAAAAATCCTTAAGTCGCAGAAATGTCACAAAGCCTAATACACTTTACTCTGTAGTATACTAGAAAGACATTTTCAGCTGAAATAAAGACAAAATCAACCATAAATTGAGCATACTAGTCATTTCTAAGGAATCTGGAGGTAATCTTAATCCAACCCCTGCTTGATGTATTATACTACCCAGAGTACAATAATTTTCATTCATGAAAAGCACCATGAAGCAATAAAAAAGGCTTATGTGTAAGCATTTAAAAAAGCTTTCTACCTAAAGCACCAGAAAGGTGATTGCTTCAATAATTTGGAAAATTCAGTTATGTGGAATACATCATATTTAATATATATGAGATGTTTCCAAATGAAACACTGCCATGCTTCAGCGTCTCCTTTTCTCACACTTCTCCAGCTATTTTGGGCTGCTCCTCAACCAGCACAGTCCATGCAGAATGTGGTCTTACCTCTCTTGGCAAAGACCACGGACATTGAGGCAGAAAAACTAGTACCTGATTCTCTCCTCAATGCTACTTAGTTGGCCAACAGTTATCACACAGAATGCTGTACTCAGTGGTATCAGATCCTCTGATTCATCATCATAAGCCTAAATCCAGAGTTTATATAAATATTCTAATTGTTTAAGATCACTGAACTGGCCAAAAAAATATATTTGTGGCCTAGATTTAGTCCAAAGATCACCAGTTTGCAACCTCTAAGTTAGGAAAAAATTAATCTTTACTACACTTGGAGAAGGAGCCCTGGTGGTGCAGTGGCTAAGCACTCGGCTGCTAACCAAAAGGTCGGTGGTTTGAACCCACCTACCACTCTGCGGGAGAAAGATGTGGCAGTCTGCTTCTGTAAAGATTTACAGCCTTGGAAACTCTACAGGACAGTTCTACTCTGTCCTGTAGGGTTGCTACAAGTTGGAATTGACTAGAGGGCAGTGGGTTTGGTTTCTGGATATTTGGAGGAAAATACAAAAATCCTAGATACATAATCAGAGAATAAAGCTTGATCCTATTCAAATCTTCCTTAATCTACAGCATTGAATAATCATTTGTCGAATATTTTGCTTATTTTTACTCTCCCTCACTAAATGCATTAAGAATGTTTCTCAAATAAAATACTCTCAATTTCCTACATAAGCAAATATTTCTAACCTGATGTTTCCTTTTTAAAAAACATATTTCATATATACTTCAAACCAAATAACTTATTAAAAAACTCTAAGAAATAAATGTGGCAAATTCAGGGGGAAAAAAGAGAGAACCCAAAATAGTCATGAGGATGAATTCACAGCAGCCTCACCTGTACTTTCATGGGCAGTCAAACATTTCATCCATTTCTTTTTCCCCAGAGAAAAGAAGCATTCAGAAGAAAAGCAAGTCAGATGACAGTCTAACTCCTCTAGGCTTTATGCAACTAATAGGACAAATGTTATCAAATAGAGATTATAAAAAATATAGAAAATACTTACCTGGACTTGAAGACTCAACAGATGGCTGAGGGGGAGAAAAGAGGATATATTAGCATTTTTGTGTAGTAAATCTTTACAGACAATTATTATAGGAACGATTCAATGACTAATACAACACCAAACACTGTGACAGTTTAGTGTATGAATTGCCTAACACAAACTAAAACTTCCTGTATAAGCCTTTCTCTGACATTATATTTAAGCACAGAACAGAGATAAAGTCAAAAACACTCCTGAATTGGGGCGGGAGGGAGAGGGAGCCATTGTTTAGGAAGCATTGAGTTTCTGCTTATGGTGATGGAAAATCTGGCAAAGGATATTGGTGATGGTTGCACAATCTGATTAATGTAATTAATATCACTAAATTGTACATGTGAAAAACATTAAATTGGCAAACGTTGTTACCTTTTTTACAACAACAATAAAAAAAACAAAACGACACTCCTGAATCTAGAAACAAAGATAATATGGAATGGATTCAGATTTTAAAGGGAAATATGGATCTCATAAAACGTGGTTTAAGAGGTATGATTTTAGTCTTGGAATTTTCTGAAACAGATCCTCTCCTATCAATAAAGGGAAAACTATGCACAAGGTTTGGTATCAAGCTGATCTCTGGCTTAAAATGTATGTAAGAAGGTAGGGGGAAGCAAATGTAAAGTTCTACAAGACCAATTCAATAACAAAAACTCAAAAGATGCTTCAAATGACATGAACTCTGTTAACTAAAATCTTGTCTTTTCATTCAGAACTATCTATTTCGTGACCATCAGAAGACAGAGATGGTGCAAGGCCAAAAAGTACTAGCAAAGAGATAAGAATATTCCAGTATTTTCTTTCTTTCAGCTAAGGAATATTCTAGTATTTTCTTTCTTTCAGTTAAGTAATAGGGCAGAGAGGCAAGGAGAACAAAAAGAAATGGGGAAAATGCTCAATTTTCCAAAAGCTAGGTATGTAAGACAAATTCTTATAAGGTGTTAAAATTCCATTTGAAAACTGTCCACACTATGCTACTGCAGTAAGTGTGCTGTTTCAGATTCCACACAGGGAATTATGTTAGGTTCTTTTAAGACTCACTTTTTCAAGAGTCCTATTTTTTCCTTTAAATTCTTATAAGGGAATGATTGTTGCCTATATAAGTACTGTCTTTCTAACAGAAGAGTGGCAGTACCCAGTATTACGTATTTCCAGCGTCACACCACTACATTATTTGTAAGTTTTCTTCCAAAACTCAATACAGTACCGCTACTTATTAATTTGGCTCCTCTAATGGGAGCTGGAAGAGTGAGTGAGACAGGCAGGTTTCTAGCTTCCTTAACATACTCTAAGCAGAGCCACACATTTCTGGCTCAAAATGGATTTAACCACCACACAAATTATTACACTGCAAATCAATATTTTAAAATATTAATCCACTTGTGCTTCATGCAGTTATACTTTATTTCCCAAGTGTAAGCACAACCTCTGTGCAAGGCTACAGTAATGTTAATAGACTATCTGGTCCAGGTTCACTATCCACAGAGTAGAAGAGTAAACTTTTAAAACAGATTTACACGACACGCACAAGAAAAACCAGCATTTCTTACAAATTATTTTAAGAAAAATGGTTCTTTGAGCATTTAGTTCTTTTTCAACACTCAGGTAATTATTCCATGTAACAGGTTTCTGATAAAAAAAAAAGTTTCTGATATACAAGAAAGTTACTCTACCCAAGAACAAAAGGTACTTTTGCACTTATGTTAGATACTGACAATAGAGATACTGAATTAGGAAGGGAGTCTGTGTACTTTAGTTTGTAAAAGGCCAAAGAGCACTAAATGCCAATAAATACCATACTAATTGTTTCACTGGTAAACAGTTACCACCTTAAAGTTCTGAAAAGGGCCTCAAATACTTCCCATTCATTAAAATAGCAAATGTTCAGAAGACTGGTAGCATCTGTTAAGTCTAACTGGCATGAAGTACAACACCTAAAATGTTAATGATCACATTATGTCAGACATACTGAAATGTTTAAATGACCATGATTTGGCTAGTGGTATATTTAAATTAGTACAGGAGGAGGGGAAGTATTTACATTCAAAACAAAATTCCACTGTATCAGCTTCTGGGGTAGGAGAATCTGTTTCTTCAAAGCTAATTATATCCAATTAAATAAAAAACCAGTTTCTGGAAATCTGGCCTCTGAAAACAGTTCAATATTTTAAACCTTACTTTGTCCAGCTAACAAACAAAACGATTATCTTTCAAGGTAAAATGTGAGTTTAGTATCATAATATGTTTCAGTGTGGAATGAGAGCATTTTTTATTTAGGCATGAAAAGAAAACAGAACTACTTTACATACTACACATTTTCAAATTCGTACAGTACTATATACTTTTTTATGTATGAGAATACAGTTTCTTGATCATAACTATAAATCTGGCAAAAATACCTGCCTCGCCTACCTCAGTTTTATAGACTAGCAAGCCCAGGGAGATAGACTTGACCAAAGTTCCATGTTAGGTGGTAAAGGCAGAACTGAAACTTAAAACCTCTGACTCCTCAGTGCTCCTTTTAGACCTTCCAGAGAAACTATGTAAAAAGTTTCTTTTTTTACTTTGCTCTTCCTTCCCCCTCACTCTCCTTCTTTTTTTTTTAAATGGCTTTCATATATGTTCAAAGCATGTTTAAAATGTAACCACAAGTTATCATCTATCATGCCAGAATGTTATCCCTGTCTCTTTAGGAACTGGTACCTAATAATACCCTCCAGGAAAACCTGTAACAACTACTATTAATTACTACTGCAAATTGAGAAAAGGGGAAGGGAAGGGGGGAAAAAAAAAACCTAAAGCTAAACTAGTACAAAATCTGTTTTTACAAAAAACTCAAACTATAAAATGTGAGCAGTAAAGAAGATTTAAAATCTGGGTTCAAAATATTTAAAGTGCACTCATACGTTACTGGTAGAAATAAGAATTGGTTTAACCATTTTTGAGATCATTTTGGCAACATGAATTTACCCTACAAATATACCTAAAAAAGTGTATCAAAAGCGTAGTTCCATTTTTTGAACTTTCATTACCACAATGTTGGTCACAGTAAAAAGTTGGGGAGAATGCAAAAATCCATCATTTAATTAGTGACAAATGAAATACAGTTCTTCTAAGCAAAGGAACACTATGAATCCATTAAAAAGAAGAAAAAAGATCTGTGCTGATAGAGAAAAAATGCTAAAGATATACTAGGAGTGAAAAAAACAAAAAAGTAGAAACAAGGAATAAATTGGGCTGGCATATGTACACAAATTTTTTTCCCCCAAAAGGATACACAAGAAACCACTAACAATGTTTACCTATAAAGAATAGCCAAGGAGAGGAGGCTTTTTTCCTTTTATCCCTTTCTGTGCTGTTGGAATTTTTTAGCCACTTGCTCGCATGCGTCACTTTTTCTCTTTAAAAAGAAAGTCACTGGGGGTTAGCTTGTGGAATTATGAGCCATTTTCATTTTCTTCCTTTACTTTTTGGTTTTTACAAAAATCTGGTGTTTGGTATCATTTTTATAAAAGTCTTTAACTTTGAAAATTTACCTAATTTTCTATTTAAAAAAAAAAACCAAACTCGCTGTCCCTGCGTCAATTCCAACTCGTAACAACCCTACAGGACAGAGTAGAACTGCCCCACAGGGTTTCCAAGGCTCTAATCTTCCCAGCAAGGAGGCCCAGTGGCACAGTAGTTAAAGTGCTCAGGTGCTAACTGAAAGGTCAGCAGTTCGAACCCACCAGCTGCTCTGTGGGAGAAAGAAGTGGCGGTCTGCTTCCTTAAAGATTTACAGCCTTGGAAACCCTATAGGGCCATTCTACTCTGTCCTATAGCCGACTTGTCAGCAATGGAGTGGAATCTTTATGGAAACAGACTACCAGATCTTTCTCCCAAAAGGCCAATGGTGAGTTTGAACTGCTGACCTTTCCGTTAGCAGCCAATCACTTAATCACAGTGCCACCAGGGCTCCTAGCTTTCTATTAAGACACATATGCAACTGTTTTATCTCCGATGGAAAACATTACACTAAACACACACACATACAGACTATGAGTAGGCAAAACGAAATAAAAACTCTACTAACATTTATATCATCCACATATTTAGGTGACTTAGCTGACCAAGCTGCTAACAGCTGTAGGAAACAAATATTCAATGCCTCAAATATGTCCAAATGTTTCTCTTGTACATTTTTCTACAACATAGCAGGAAATGTCTCATACAAAACAAAGCCACGAATTGGGAGACAGTAGAAGATTAACTAGAACATTACCATTATTTTTACAAAAATAAAAAAGGATGACATAAATACTAAGTAATCACACACACATAAAAAAA